ACAGAAAACTAATATATGGTTATGGAGTTTCATTTTGCTTCATTTTGTCCTAACTGATAAAGGTTGAATTATTTGTAACAATTTACTTTCATCTCTATAATGAGATGGTTCTTGCGTGAAAGCTTAATAATTTCTTATGTGTTGTTATTTATGTAATTTCTTGATTTTTGTGTTTTGCGTGTTTACTTTGCTTTTTTCTGAATATTACTTTCTTCACACTTATCAGCTTATTTAGCTCTCTAATTGTGTTTCTTCTATTTTTTGAGTGGCATAATTATGTTTGACACCATACCATGAATGCATAAACATACAAACAGAGGGCATGGATATGATTTTTTCTAAAAATAAAGTTTTTTTTGACAACAATCAACTTTTGGACCGCTTTTCCACTTGTGGTTTTTTGTTTCTAATGGTACTATTTTGATTGATAAAATACCATCATATAATGCGAAAATGAGGATCTTTATAGCGTTTTAAATGCTTGGTTAGAGGCATGTCGGGTTTAGTGATGAATATCTTGTTCCTTCAAATGCTTTTATCTCATGTTTTTGTATGGAGATTATACTTTGTTATCCCTTGTCATTGTTTGTACAACGCTAAATAAACCTTTTGAAACATTATTTTGGTTGATGGACACTTAATAGCATTTATTGCTTCCTTTATTGCAAACTTAGTCTATGATCATATCATATTTTGTTAAAAAGCATATTGACAATTGTTTCATTTTTTGTACCAAAAAAAATATTTCTTTTTCATTTTCAGTTGATATAAATTGTTAAGCTTTTACCAAGGCATTGGGTTTTGCTTATCATATATTTAATAAATTCTACAAGATGATTTATAGGTCATGTGTCTATTTTAAAACTAAATGTTGCAATAGGTAAATGTTTTTAATGTATCCTGTGACGACCCATATATATATATATATATAAATCATTAACACATTAATTAGGTTATCAATTATGATTATATATAATTGAGATTTATTTTTTTTAATATATATATATATATAGATATATATAATAAAAAAAATTATGAACAAATGGACCTCAATTTTAAACTCTTCATGCGAAAACAAGTCAAATGACTATAATTTAGGTCAAATTTAGTAATAATATGAATATATCTATAAGTATGTATATATGGCAAAGGACAAGTGTCCTCTTTTATAGCCTGGCAAATTTAAAACGTGCAGGGAAAAAAAAAGAAATGGCAAGTAAATGGACAGATGCCCATGTAATGCAAGCAACTTGCACCATGAATGACATAAGGAAAGCCAAGGCTTGGCTATAAATAGCCTAAATTTGGGCCTTCAGGCAACGCATCAAAGGAAGAAAGGAAAGGAGAGAGAGAAGAAAGAAAGAAAGAAAGAAAAAAGGTCAAAATCTTGTTGACCTAATAGGTCGTTGTTGCAATTAACAATTGTTGGGTAAGATTTTTAGTTATTATTTAATAAATTTTATTGGTTCAAGTTTCTTAAAGTTGATCCTTATTAAATATTTTTGGATCAATTTTAAGTATCATTATTTTTCTTTGGTTATTCTAAAGATTATTTTAGCTTAACTAAGCTCTCATTACCTATTGTCATTCTAAAATATTATTTTAGTTATTTTGTCACAGTACACGGTATCAAGTACAAATATGTTAGAGGTAGGGTTTCTTTTATCTTTTACTATCATTGATATATTTCATGCATATTTGGGGGTTTCATATCAAATCTATTTTTATTTATATAATGTAATATTATATCGCTATAATTATGGAGTCAAACTGGGGTTTTATAAATAAATTGTGATTATGCACATATCATATTTTTATTTATATCGAGGCCGTAATTATCTTGTGAAACCACATTGCATAATAAATGTTTTTATTTATTTATTATTTAATGTTTGATTTGCTGTTGGGTCTGACTACGATATGACTTTATTTTGTAATTCTGATAAAATTACTATGAATGCACATAATTAAGGGAAAATGGTTAGTAGATGCGTGATCCTTGCGAGGATTCATAGGATTTCTACTAGTCCTTGAGTTCACTGGTTTGTAATATCGGTTGTCATAGTAGCTTGTGTGGCACCACATAATTCTTGATTTTGGTGTTTCCAGAAAAGCAAGAAGGGCATTGAAATCTCTAGGATGCAAGACCCCAAAGTTTTCTCTGGAGGCGGTTCAGACGTGGACCAGAAAATTGACGGATTGATATGATCAATATGTGCTGAAATTTATTTATTTATTTGATTCATTACTTTGCCCTATTGCTGCATTTATCTGTTATTTAATTATGTTATGTTTTAAAATCTTGGTAGTCATTGATAAACGTTATCCTACTGAGCAGGTGAGCTCATCCCTATCTAACATTTTTCAGATATATGAAGTCGGGCAGGAGGATAGGCTGAAAGGACGATGGATAGAGTCTGCTATTATTATTTCTTTTTATGTTGTATCAAGAATATTTGAAATGATCATGTGAGGATTATGTACTCGTACGCGGAATATAATAATACAAGGAAGGTTATCGTAAGTTGGGTGTAATTTTATTCTTTAATCACGCCCGAGTATTTTTTTTGAAAAAGGGAAAAAAATTGGGGCATGATAGAGTGGTATCAGAGCCTAGGAATTAAGTCTTACATAGGAATTATACATATATATATTTATAATACTAAATAGTAGTGTTAATACAGAGCATGTTTTACGGGCATATTATTTTTTTATGTCAACAGAACTAACCTTTTATGACTATAGGTATGGCGTTATGGGACGACATTTACATGGCCCGCAGTAACATGCGGTTTGAGGAAGCCAACAAGTATCAGAATCATAAGGTCAATGTAGAGGCATATGGTCTGATAGTCAGTGAAATTCAAGATGTGTCCCAAAATTGGCCGTTTCAGGCCGATTTCTGAGCAGAGGAGATTAGTACATCACCGGCTGACCTGACAGCTAAGGGTTGTTTGCCAAGCATTAAGTATCAAAAGGAACCATCACTTATACCAGGAAATTCTGAATGGATTGCTAATGCAAGATATTCAGTGGCCACCTGTGGGGGCTAATGTGGGATAGCCAATAGAATCTCCTAACCTGAACAATAACGAAGAAGATGACTAACAAACTAATAACCCTAATGTAGCCCCTGCAGCCGCACCACCCGAAGCAAACCATCGTGTAGCTTCTGCAGGTTCTGCAAATGTGTCTCTAGAGGGAGAGGCATGAAACTTCTTGGTTCCTAACTGTATCGTTGGTCTTACTATTCTAAGAAATATTGTCTGTAAATAGTAATAATTCTTGGAATAGTAGAAATAAATATATAATTACATGACTTAGAAGTGACTATCCTAGAATTTTGTTTTCCATGTGAATGGCATCTAGGATAGGAAACAAAATGTATTTTAGTTGCTAACTATGTGTAATTAGAGTGTTTTTCTTAATTTTTGGATGTGGTTATAGTTTTTAATGCAATCATAATATCATGGACTATGTGTTATAGGATGGAGGGAAACACATCTCAAGACTAACCAAAGATGTCTATCAATGACCAGTCCCCTCCGACACTGCGGAACACCATGAGCGGCATTTACCAATGCTTAAGAGAATTGACCATTTTGTCACGCCAATAGGCAGAAAATAATAACCATACTATGGTAATACAACCAACAGTTCAAGAACAAGCAAATGTGGCTGAAACGCGAAGAATGATGATACTCAAAGAATTTCTACAACAACGTCCCCCTACCTTTCATGGAAGTACAAAGCCACTTGATGCAAAAAGGTGGCTTCGACAAGTGAAAAAGATAATGGATGGCATGGATATTACCCCAGGATTACGAGTTACCTTGGCCTTTTATCTTTTTGAAGGTGAAGCTGATCACTAGTGGGATACAGTCAAAAAAATGAGGGACATAGACCAAATGACGTGGACCACCTTCGAAAGAGTATTTAATGATAAGTATTTTCCCGAGTCTGTAAGGGATAAAATATTCTCTGACTTCCTAGAGTTGTAACAACGTAATCTGACAGTTATGTAGTATGAGTCTAAATTGGATATGGCTCTCGACCGTTTATAGGGTTCTAGCTAACCTCCAGCTGTTCCCTTATCATTTTCGCTATTATCTCGTTTGGGGGGAGCTCTGGCTCCGATCCTCTGAGTTCTGTGTGTCTTGTTTGACCTTTTTGTCTGATCTTCGCGCCTGAGTTCATATTTTAAAAATTATTCTATGTATTATCATTGTTTATTCTGAATCTCCTGCTTCTACACTCAACAGAGTAGAACCTAGAACTATGGATATGGAGGTTTGAGATCACGCCACAAACCCAAATGTATGGGCCTGGGTGCACGACCCCTTCGCTAACCAAACGCCGAAGGCATGCAAGGCTATAATCTGTACATGGATCTTAATTGTGCAACTAAAGCATTGGAAAGTACAAATATAATAAATTAAAATAACTCCTGATCAACTGCTGCAAAATCCGCAAGCACACTAGTAATCCATGAATGTCTATAAATCACCAAACTTAAATAATCTCCATTTCCAAAAGAAATTGCCAAACAATACGAAGAATGTTTCTTCTTGAATAAACTCTAAAAGCATACTTGCTTAACAAATATAAAACTAGTTAGATCTACTTGGTCTCTTTCTCGGATGCTCATCAACTTCTAGATATGAAAAATTTTAAGATTTGGATAAGATTGGCAGCCGAACAAGTAACAATATATCTCTACCCATGTGTACATATAATTTAAAAAAAAAAAAACATTTCCAATAGTTCACAAGAATAATAAGCATATCTCAAAATATTTCACACCTCATTAATAACCAACTCACACTTTCATCCCTGTAGGGGCTACTAATATGTAGCCCCACCGTGCTTCCCCTCTTTAAGCACACACATCCCCACCCAAAGCAATTACCAGAATCTATTTTTTTGGGAATTATTCAGATAGAAATGGGGTCAAGATTCATAGCATTGTCCCTGCAAACATCACCCTCCATGGAATTTCAATGCACAAAACCTCTATATTTGTAAGTGCAAGCCCACTCTACAGTCATTTTGGGTGTAAAAGGTTGCGATTTTTAATCTCGAATTGGTAGGCCATGAAATTAAATTTGCTATTGCTGGTAATTTATACTGCTTGATGAAACATCAACTTGAGCTTGTGTGCATGTTGTTGTACAATCCATTCAGCTCAATACAATTCTTTCTTTGTTTTAGTTAAAATTTTTTCTTTCCTATAAAAATTTTCTTTTGTGAGTTTAGAGTGTCTTAACTGCCTTCTGTTTGATTCACTAGAGCTTTTCACTTCAAAAATGGAGTGGGAAGAGATGTTACATGTTAGCTGCGAGGGATCTTTCAATTGTGTGGGGCAATACACCCAGGTATTGGCGATGGACTTCTCTTCCTGAGCCTAGGTATGGTCTCCCATATACTCTTCTTTTACTTATTTATCAGCGTATTTTTCAAATTAAATCCATCAACAAATTTGGCTATGCACCTGTTCATAAACAGGTTTTCGGAGGTGGCCGAGCTTATTGACGTTTGTTGGCTTGAAATTCGTGGCAAGATAAATACTTCCATGCTGTTCCCTAATACAAACTATGCAGCTTACCTTGTGTTCAAGTCACCGGCAGGAGCCTATGGATTTGAATACCAACCTGCAGAGGTCTCGGTTGGAATTAATGAGGGCGGTGGTGAGACACAAACAGTTTATTTGAATCCTGATGGAGGGCAGATGCTAAGATACGAGATTATACCTAGGCTAAGAGGTGATGGGTGGATGGAAATTGAGCTGGGTCAATATGTCAACAAGGGAGGACAAGATGGGGAGCTGGAGATGAGTTTGATGGAGGTGAAGGGCGGCCACTGGAAGAGCGGTCTCATTATTCAAGGGTTAGAGATCAGGCCTAAGGAGGGTTAATGGTCAAAATATTAATCTCTGTCAACGCCGAGAATTTTTTGTGTCCAGGTTTCAAATGGACATCTTTATTGCCATCTTCAATATCTTAATCATGACAATCAAATTGAGGCAGAGTTCAGATTAGATGCTATGACAGTCGATTTGGTTTATCATGCAGTTTCGGTGCAAGAAAACATTGGACTGCGTATGAGCCTTGTTTTCTCTCTGTTAGTTGGATCGAGTTTGTAAATGAAGTTATTACTGGCTTTCCCATATTTGCTGCCTCTTTTTTCGTCCATTCAATTGGAGAATATGTGACTGATGCGTCTGACAGTTCAAAGAATTATGTGATGTTATTGCTGTTGCTTTCATCAATTACAAATCCATGCTTCTTGTTTGTAATTGGGCTGTAGCTACCATGTGCTAAACTTCTATTCATGATGTAATTCTCTAGATTTTCTTGTTTTAATTTACCTTAAGCTTGGGGGTGTTGGTGTCCTTTTTTATTAAGTTGGTGGTTGGTAGAAATGATACTGTAAGATTAGACGGTTCTTTTACGTAGCTTGAATGTATAAAATCTGACTTTTTCTATTTTAGATCATTTTTTTTAGACATGAATCTGTTTTTACCCTGTAGTTTTGTGGCAAATATTTTTTGATGTTTTCATCTAATTTTCGTTCTTGGGTTTGAGAGTTGATGTGTGTATATATTAGTTTTGAACATTCTTCATTGCGATATTTATTTTTACTACTCAAAATAAAGATTAATGTTTTCTTATTTTACATCCATCATAATGTGCAACTTGAAAGTATATAATGTATATACCCTAATCAATAAATAGGATTGTCCAAAAGGTCAATTATTGAAATCATAAAATATTTTTTTTCTCATGAAAATTAAAAATTTGAACAAACTCATTTGCATGTTCTCATCATCATGAAAGAATTTTAATAAATCATCTCAAGTTATATGACCAACACACTAAGATATCACATAATCATTGCACATTCTAATGCTTAATATCATTGCTCCATCTTGCCCAAGCATACTTATTATAGTATTCGTTAATAAGAGCGTCATTTGTTTTAGGTCCATGTCATCTCCTTGAATGACTTATTAGTACTTTTGTTTTTCCATATTATTCAAGGGTGGTGCTTTGTTATTATAAGACAACATATTTTGTCATGGTGGTGGTGGTGGTGTTGTCTTAGTACCTTCGTCTTTCTATTTCACTTTCATTGAAATCACTTTTTTCTTTTAAAATTTAAACATAAATAAAGGTGTTAGTTGTGTTAAAATATGCTAAAAAATATAGAAGGTATATTCAGATTTTAATTTGACCATAGAAACAACATTGGACTAATAGAGAGTAAAATAGTACTACCCAACTTTAGGAAAAAAGAAAAAAGCATTTGTATAAAAATAGACTGACATGTTCAAATTTTTAGCAAAGCATTTGTCGTTGTGTGATATCTAGCACTAAAATGAGCTTTCAAGAATTTATACAGACCCTTATGTTGAGACGAAGTTCAATCAACATGAAACTACAATCAAGAAAGGAATATTTTTGTAAATAAAATTTAGAATTAATTCAGTTGGAATTGGTCGAATTTTTCTAACCATAGAGGTACATATTGATTTGGAGTTGATATATTGTGAAGGGGAAGAAAAGTATCCATGTAATTTAGGTAATTCTAAAAGAAAATCTCTATATGTGACAATCTAGAATGTTGGCAAGCTTTTTGTTTTTTCCATCTCTTGATTCTGCTTTGCCTTACTATTCCTTTATTCTTCTTACAGAAAACTGATATATGGTTATGGAGTTTCATTTTGCTTCATTTTGGCCTAACTGATAAAGGTTGAATTATTTGCAACAATTTACTTTCATCTCTATAATGAGATGGTTCTTGCGTGAAAGCTTAATAATTTTTTATGTGTTGCTATTTATGTAATTTCTTGATTTTTGTGTTTTGAGTGTTTACTTAGCGTTTTTTCTAAATATTACTTTCTTCACACTTATCAGATTATTTAGCTCTCTAATTGTGTTTCTTCTATTTTTTGAGTGGTATAATTATGTTTGACACCATACCATGAATGCATAAACATACAAACAGAGGTCATGGATATGATTTTTTCTAAAAATAAAGTTTTTTTTTTTGACAACAATCAACTTTTGCACCGCTTTTCCACTTGTGGTTTTTTTTTCTAATGGTACTATTTTGTTTGATAAAATACCATTATATCAAGTGAAAATGAGGATCTTTATAGCTTTCTAAATTCTTGGGAAAAGGCATGTCGGGTTTAGTGATGAACATCTTATTCCTTCAAATGCTTTTATCTCATGTTTTTGTATGGGGATTATACTTTGTTATCCCTTGTCATTGTGTGTACAACGCTAAATAAACCTTTTGAAGCATTATTTTGGTTGATGGACACTTATAGCATTTATTGCTTCCTTTATTGCAAACTTAGTCTATGATCATATCATATTTTGTTAAAAAGCATATTGACAATTGTTTCACTTTTCGTACCAAAAAAATATATTTCATTTTCATTTTTAACTGATATAAGTTACTAAGCTTTATCAAGGCATTGGGTTTTGCTTATCATATATTTAGTAAATTCTACAGGATGATTTATAGGATATGTGTCTATTTTAAAACTAAATGTTGTAGGTAAATGTTTCAATGTATCCTGTGAAGACCAATATATATATATATATATATTAATTATTAACACGTTAATTAGGTCATCAATGATTCTATACAATTAAGATTTATTTTTTTAATATATATATATAATAAAAAAAAGTTATGATCAAATGGACCTCAAATTTAAACTCTTCATGTGAAAACGAGTCAAATAACTATAATTTAGGTCAAATTTCATAATAATATGAATATATCTGTAAGTATGTATATATGGCAAAGGACACATGTCCTCTTTTATAGCCTGGCAAGTTTAAGGTTAACAAAATATGACTCAACTTAAGGTATTGTATACCCAACAAAGTCTAGACTTTTGTATACCCAACTTAGGGTATTGTACCTACAGGCTGCAAATGGGTTTCAAAAGGAAGACAAGCTTAAATGGAAAAATGTAGAGACCTATAAAGTTAGGCTATGTGCTAAAGGTTTCAAACAAAGACAAGTTGTTGACTATGAAGAAACCTTCTAGCTAATAGTCATGCTAAAATCCATCATGATTATGCTTGTCATAATTGCACACTGTGACTATGAGATATGAAAAATGGATGTCAAAAGCATCTTTCTTAATAGAAACATTGAGGAAGATATTTTTATGGAGCAACCATAAGGTTTTGTATCCAGTGACGAAGGCCATAATGTGTGCAAGTTATAGAGATCCATTTATGGATTAAAAGCAAGCATCCCCAAGTGGGAACATCCAGTTTGATTAGGTAATCAAATCATTTGGTTTCCTCTTAAACATAGATGAACCATGCATGTACAAAAGGATTAGTGGGAGTTCTACCACATTTTTTGGTATTTTATATGGAAGACATCCTATTCATTGTGAATAATGTTAGGATGCACTCATAGGTCAAACTATAGCTTTCACATAATTTCTACATTGAAAGTTTGGGAGAAGCATCCGATATTTTAGGTATAAAGGTCTATAGAGATAGATCTAGAATGTTGCTTCGGGCATTCCAATCCTTGTACATAGACATGATGTTAATGAGATTTAACATGTAGAATTCCAAGAAAGGATTTTTACCTTTCAGAGGAGGAATTCATCTCTCTTAGGACATGAGTCCTACAACATCAAAAGAGAGAAATAACATGAGCAATATTCCTTATGCTTATCAATAGGTAGCCTCATGTATGTTGTGCTATGTACAAAAACTTGATATCAGATATGCTATAAGTGTTACTAGCAGATATCAATCAAATTTCATGTTTGGAACATTGGAATATAGTCAAGACATTCTTATGTACTTGAGAAGAACGAAGGATGCATTTCTTGTCTATGGAGAATGAGAGCTACGTGTGGATAGATATATAGACGGAAACTTTTAGTCTAATGTAGATAAAAGAAAAATCTACTTCTGGATTTTTGTCTATCTTAAATGATGGAGTAGTTAGTTGGAGAAGCTGCAAATAGGATATTACAGTGAATTCAACTACTAAGGTTGAGTATGTTGCTGCCTTAAAGGATGCCAAAGAAGTTGTTTGGATTAAGAAGTTCAATAATGAACTTATATTCGTTCCTACCATTGAATCACATATACTACTGTATAGTGACAATAATGGGACAATAGCTCAAGCCAAGGAATCAAAGTCTCATAAAAAATCCAAACACTTATAGTGGCATTCAACATGATCTAAGAGATAATTGGAAGAGGGGATGTGTGTATCTAAAAGATTGCATCAATAGATAATATAGTGGACCCACTTACGAAAGCACTAAGATAACAACAACTAGACTGACATCTTGCGAAGATGGGTATTAGATACATGGTTGATTGGTATTAGTGCAAGTGGGAGATTGTTAGTAGTATGCTCTAAGACCAATCATATAGATGATGTTTTAGGGTTGTACTAGTAACATTCATTACTTAATTAAATAAAAGGGCAAGTTTATCTATCATGTTTCTACTTTATTTTATTTTAATATACATGATATAGTCCATAGAATACAAGTTAAGAAGTTAGTTTCTCAAGGTGTAGAGAAGAGGAAACCTATACTTTTTGGTACTTAACTCTTAAATGTTTCTAGTCATAGGATTGTTATTTGGGCACTACATAATTCGGATAGACTAGCGCACACTATGTTTACTCATATTTGATATGAGGTGACTTGTTCAAGTCACTGGTGTTGGGACACTTAAGCAAGTGTGTGGGTGCTTGTTAAAGAACAAGTACACTGAATGTGACCATTGACTAACGTAGGATTTTTCATTTTATATGGAGTTTTACGTGCTTGTCAATATTAAATCCTAAAGTTATAGTTATGCAACTGATCCTTAGACTTGAGACACCATGGTTGTCTTGTGCATG